AATAAAAATCTTGATATTTTAAAGTGGCATCTTTAAAATTAAGCCAACTCCGAGATTGAAAAATCCAGAGTTCCAGGATCTGAGAATTGAAATATTTGAGGTCTTAAAATCTTGAATAACAAAATGCTGCTTTTTTAAAGTTAGGTATTATTTAAACTTTTTTATTATAATCCTGAACATTTTAACCAAAATCTTTGTTTTTCTTCTGGGAGCTTGCAATCGTTTCTTGATCCTAAAGGTTAAAGTCTAATGTTGGGACTTTAAACATTTTCCCGAAGTACATACTCCAATGACTTCATGAAGTTGGTGCTTCTGACGGGGAGAGATCAAATTTGATGTGAGTTTAAAATATATAATTAAGAAACAATTCAATTTACTTTCAATTTATTAAATTGTAGCGTTCGCTATTTAATGAATTTTAAATTGAAATCAGATAAAAGACACACTCAAATGAGATTCAGTTTATCTGTCATATTCTGCAACATCTGAATGTAATAGAGTGTCAGGCGCAGTTATGTGTTTTAAACCGTTTGTTTTATTAAAGGCATTTTAATAAGCTGTTTAAAAGAATTTTGATGAATGAAACCATTTACAGTAAAATAAACATTATTCAGTTACATTCAAAGTGTTTTTATGTTACTTCATACGCGAAGTTAGCGATTTTCAGAATTGGTTGGAAATGCTAACATGAAGCTTTAGTGTGATAATTTATTAGCTAGAGAAAGTCTCCGCATATATCGTGCGGGTTAGGCAAAAGATGTGCGTTTGACTTTAAAAACTGTCGCATTAATGGCCCTTCACTCATTTTAAACTTCTATTCAATTTTCATACTGCCGTACTCTAACGGAACTATCCACCTACCCTCTTCTAAGAAAGATCTAAAGAAAGATCATTCTCTAGCTAATAAATCATCACACTAAAGCTTCATGTTAGCATTTCCAACCATCGGTTACGTCATCGGTTACTTGACCTTTTCCGTACCGTTAACCGTAGCTATTAGGTTTAAGTTTTATTCATTTAGACAATAATTGTCAGTTGAATTTTTCAGTATACTGTAACGCACGTCTCGCAGCCTGCGAGATCTTGACTACCGAATACGCTTCCTGTCTTTAAAACGAATGGGTTAAGCGCCACCTCCGGAGAGGATCACTCGTCAAGGTTTGATTTGCCCGGCAAGAAACCCAACCTCAGGCGGGATTATGAATGGAAGAAAGCGATTCAGCAGACTGAAATCCCAACGCTACTAAGCGAAAGTTGATGCTAACCGTCGTTCACAACAGCCCCACTCACATTTGTCATCACTGGAGGAACTTTCCCTTTCAGATTTCCTCCCCCGATTCTGACACGTGAGTGTGGAGACTGTTTTCCCAGGCAGTCCAACCTGGAGTAAATTCAACTACAACAACAAAAATACTACAAAAAAATAACGCAAAATAGAACAACCAAAACGTGAAGAATCTAGCCATCAAAAAAATAACATTACGTGGAAAGCTTTTACTTTAAGAATCAACATTTATTTCAGGGCTTAATAACGGGAATCATTATATGATTTATTTGTGTTCCTAACCTATGTTTTTATTTATGGAAATTGTTCCTTTCCCAATTGTTCGTTTGTTTGATAGCTCTCCCTAATCGAGTGTGCGGTTTCCTGATCTGATTCTAGCGATTGCTAGCCTAACTTAATAATCTTTTTCGAGCTCATGTGTTTGTGTTTGTGGAGATTCGCATGCGTTTCATTTACTAACGGTAATCACTGTCTTCGCTGCTTCATCCGTGTCGGCACAGAAGCATCCCTTTGTCGAAGTGAGGTCGGCAAAGTAGCAGCCTATTCAAACGGTCGTGGTATTGCACATTGCACCCCGGACTGGTATGATGCGGAAATTCCCAATCGAACCCTCGAATTGGTACTGAAACTAGCGCCGACTGCCGGTGCCGCAAATGTCAACGAGGGGATCTTCGAAGACGAATAATGTACGTGGGTTCACGTGGTTGATGTTGGAGGATTTGGCCAACGCTGTGCCGGAGAATAGTTAAAAGGGTGTCTCCCTTCCGAATTCTCCCCTTTGAACCGGGAGCCTTGACGTTGAAGCGTGGGGTCTAGAGAGCGCGATTTAATTCCTCGATTGCGGTGTGACGAGCAAAGCCATCTATCGCTAGAAGCGATGCGTTGCAAACTCCAATCTGCACGAAACGATCACAAAAAGCAGTCGACACATTTCAGATACATCTCCACACAAAAGACATTGTTCACCTTACCTTTCTACGAACTTTGCACACACAATAAGGGACCGTCCATTAATTATGTCACGCAAATTTGGCCCATTTTCAACCCCCCTCCCACCTTTGTCACATTTTGGGTATGGACCTTAATTTTTTTTGTATGGGACGTCACAGTTTTCAACCCCCCCCCCCCTAAATGTGTGACATAATTTTGGACGACCCCTAAGTGGACCGCACGGAACTTCTAACCTACAGTTTACACTCTACAGGCTAGGGGAAAGGATCAAAAATGTAAGATTAGATTTGGTCTTTTAGACTCCTCACATTTTTAACTTCACGTATCACTAAAGTACGCTTATGGTGGTAAGCTCCAACCGGTATTATCCTCGGATTAAATCCCGATCAAGATTGTCCGGCTGCTTTGATGTCCACATCAGAGTGAATCAACGCGACTTTAATCAAATATTTTGCAGATCATCCAAACAGGGACGGTATTGAAAGTTAATCCGAGTTGGAGCTTACCGCCATTAAGTACTATCTACTCGCACTCCCACCTCTTCTACGGTTCAAGTCAAAGTGAACGAGTAGAAGCTCCATAACCCTCATATAGGTGTGAATTCAACGGTCATCGTGGCCGGAAGTACGTCAAATTACCGAAGTAATTCAACGACCTTTCAAACGACAATTTTCATCATCTTTCTCTGTAACCATTCAATGCTACATCTCTTTCCTTATCATGCAATTTCAATCTACTTTGTTGCTCAAATCTAATTTCGGTTACTCTTTTATACGAGAGAACGGTTCGCATTCTAACCACGGACTCTAACGAACAGGTAGCGTATTCGGGTCAAATGGAGTGAATTAGCTGAACGTATTGGGAACTCGTTGGCTTTTGTATGACAAGTGTAACTATATGTAAGTGGCCATACGTTCCTTGGCGGTGAATACATTTATGAATTTAATTGTAAAAAAACGAAAGCTCATGCAAAATACTTAAATGTGGAAATTTGTATAATTAGGAATTCTGTGCAAATAAATAACTAAATAAACAACAACACAGGCGATAATAACCATCCAGCCACGAATGAAAAAAAAAAAAAAAACAAATGTGGACATGGAAACTCGAAGGTTGCCTTGATCAAGAGAATTTGTTTATGTCAAAATTCAAATTCTTGCAGGTAGTTGGTCTATCTTTTAAGGTTGTCTTTATTTTCAGCTAAGTTGAATGTAGAAGGAATGATTTTTATCAGCACTGGTGTCTATTCATAGACTTAGACTAGAATCTGAAGAAGTTTGCACGAAATACTTAATATTTGTCTGAGGCTTGCTATACTGGAGTGGCGGCTCAAGCAGGCCTCGACCTTCATGACGTGCCACACAGAATAATCCAAGGTGTTAAGATCAGGGGCTGGATGGCAAACACATATTTTTCAACCAGAACGGCAGATGTTCCTTCAACCTATTTTTCGTGCGGTTTGAGGTGTGGTCATTCTGAAAGACCACATTCAGCTCCACGGAAGGACATACTTAATAAGAATGTCGATATACACCTCATTACTCACTTTAACCCCTTCAGGAATGGTGCAAATATTATCACGCATACGGATATGGTTTGGAGAACTGACTACCTGGGTTTTTTTTTCCGTTGAATAGTCTTCAACCGATGAACGAACACGAACCACGTATCGGAGAAATTCAGTCTTCTTCTTATTATCCACCTGAATCCCCATAGTGTACAGGTGGATAAATTCAGGTTTTTCTTGTTCAAGTCGTATCATGTCCAACGAACTATATTTATCTGTCCCACTACATTCGGTCACCGGTCGTATTCTTTGTCAGCTGCTGTAACATAAGTGGTCCAGTGCAATCAATCAACACAATCAGTTCAACGACATTGCTGAGACAAGGCATCTTCTTTTCTTCTTCTTTGAATTTCAAGCTTATTGCTTACCACATATTAGCTTATTGCGTGCTCTCAACTTAGTGTTCTAGATTCACTTTCACAGTTATCATTTGAGAGTTTTCGATACCTGAACTATTTTTGGAAGGAAGTCGAGAAATTTTCCAATCCGACCGGGAATCGAACCCAGATATCTCCAGCGTGGTCTTGCTTTGCAGCTGCGCCTTTACCGACTGAGCTAAGGGAGGCCCCTTGAGTCAAGGCCTCGCTTTTGCCCGTGAGTGATGCATGATGCAAGTTCTTGGAGGCTCGTCTTCTTTCCATTTACTTGTTGCACGCTAGATTGTCAGTGTGATTCTATTCTAGATACATTCTTTTAATAATTCTTCATTGAACTAAATGTATTGTCATACTATTATTCCATTGCACCTTAATTCATGAAAACTTTTCCTCTCGAAACCTTATACATACCGGACCGTCCCCGTCAGCACCGTTCATATCACTGAACGCGAATAGTCTACACGAAAGCATCATGCGGTGCACACGTCAATATCACACTCAACAATAGAGAATTCATATTTCAATCGAATGATTTTCGCATGTCTCATAATTTTTACGCATTTTGAAAGAAGAAATCTCAGCGGCGCGTTCGCTCGAAAAAAGTGCAGCATTTGATATGGCACTGACATGTGGATTATTTTCAGTGATTGATTATATTCTGATGCAACAGATCATCGCTTCCAGCTTAAAGCACGTCACTTCTCGCCATCGTCTGTCCTGAGTTGATTGATAAAGAACACCGATCTGTCGCCTGTTAACTTCTCAACGCGCTTTAAAAGCGTTGTACCCAGCATCGGCGCTGCGCTAGGGCTTTGCAATAAATGAGCCGTCGTCGCTGGTGCAAGTAGTGACACATGTGGAGTGAGCACATGAGAGTGAACGAGTGAACTATTCCGTTAGACCCGGTTGTGTATTATAGAGTGCAGTCAAACGTACATTTCGCGGAGCATCGCAGACAGTCAGAGTAGAGAATAGCGAAATAGAACATCATAGGTACGCTTCCAGTTGTTTCCCAGCTAGGTTCGATACGAGCCTGTGGTTTCCGATACAGAACATATCGTTAAAATAATAAGGTCATCGCGAGCATATATGTTTGACCGTCGTTGGCTGGCGAAAGTTGCTGCACGGTTCATACAGCTAATCAGCGAATGCGTTGTGAAGAGACTGTTGTGTCTTCGTTGAGATCAAAGTTCAATTCGTTTTCAGTCATTGATTTATTGAAATCCTGGAGCGAGAGTGCGGTGAAACTATCAGAACAACAGTGAAAAGGTAGATTTTCTATAGGTGGTCGACTTCATTAGCAGGTTCAGATACAGCGAATTAGCTGCGAGTGCGAACATGCGTGCATATCGAGTTTTCAGATGTTCAAATCACATCTCTGACTGTGCTGGTGAATGATGCGGATGTAATAGCTGGAACGATGCTTGGCGCGGTGCTCAGATTACGGGCGATGAGTTTAATGAAATTCGTTGCTCCAGGATTGTTTATTTAGGTCGCATATGATTGAGTTCACAGTGATGGAGTCAGGCAGTATTAACGGAGGGTCAAATTTGCATTTGCATAAGCAAACAGAAAATGCGTAATTTTAGCATGTATTTCAGCAGGGAGTTTGCCACAGTGAAATAATGTATTTGACGAATTTAATTAACTAAGCATGCAATATGAAATGCAATTAAACGAACATTATAGAAGCATTACTCAATGCTGCTTTAAAAGGGATTCTGCAAATTTTCCCATATGCATAATAAGTCATGAAAGATTTCTGATTTATTTAACCTTCATTTTGACTTCAGTAGTTCTGGCAGTAAATAATGAAGCTAACAAAACACGTGTCGTTTACTCAATTGATTTTTCCTGACATCGCCCGTGTTTGCAAAGACGATGTGTGCTGTTCTGGAAGGTAGTGAATTGTAAAACCTATTTAAAGCCATTGACGATTGCCAATGTTTACTACATTCTTTATCAACAACCGACAAGAGCGACCTGTTGTACCGGTGTGGTGTTGGAAATAATCAAAGAGATTTGATTTGCGCCTCATTTCAAAACCGAAAATACAGATTTTATTTCATTTACTTATTAGAAATATATGGTTTGTCTTTTCCCATTACAGACACTCTGAAAACGAGATAAAAACAATCACGTGAATGGATTAAACCATCCAACGAGCTTTCTTTCAACAGATCTTAAACCATCTAAAGCAAACATGAAGTTTCCCGTGCTTATTTTGATCGGCATAGCATTCCTGAATGTTTCCGCTGGAAAACACATAATTTCCTCCAATGCACCTTTAGCAAAACGGGAGCTCGCCAACAAACATCCAACATTCGAAGAATACAAACGGCAACGGAAGACCTTTATTCTGTCGGAAGAGCATCGCTTCCTCGGAGCCAACCTGACCCTGACCGATGACGAACAGACCGTCAACAAATATATCATGCATTTGAAGCAGCAGGAGCTTGCCGAGGGCTTCAACGATAGCTACAATTTCATCCCGGCAAGACACTTCTTCGAAATGTTGGATCGCTTCGAAACTTCCAAACTGTTTCATATCATCCAACGACTTCCAAAGGGAGGTGTTCTGCATGCTCATGACACGGCTCTCGGCAGTGTTGAACTGATAGTGAATGCCACCTATCGCGAGAACCTCTGGCAGAATGGTGAGTTTGGAAAGATTCCTGGACCTATGTTCAAATTTTCTAAAGAGAAACCCGGCGATGATTGGTCGCTGGTATCTGAGATTCGAAAAAGAATGACGGACAAGGTTTACGATGCCAATGTCACCGAGTTATTTAGTCTATACAATGCAGATCCATTGAATGCCTACAAGAGTTTGGATAATGTATGGAGCAAATTCCAAAACCTCTTCATGTGCTTAGAGCCATTAATTACATACGAGCCGGTCTGGAGACAATATTATCGCGATTCATTGCAACAGTTTTACGACGATCACGTGCACTACCTGGAATTCAGAGGAGTACTACCGCCGGTTTACGACTTGGATGGGACAATTTATTCCTCAGAAGAAATTGTTCAGATGTACTACGATGACACGGAATTATTCAAGCAGACTCATCCGAAATTTATTGGCGTCAAGTTCATCTACGCTCCAGTGCGCTTCATGGCCGATTCAGATTTTCTGAGCATCTTGAAAACTACTAGGCAACTGCATTCGAAATTTCCACGGTTTCTAGCTGGGTTCGATCTGGTCGGGCAGGAAGATCCGGGTAGGGCATTGCTTGAGTTTGCTCCAGCCCTGTTGGAACTGCCAGAGTCCATCAACTTCTTTTTCCACGCCGGAGAAACCAACTGGTTCGGTATGAAGACCGATGAGAACTTGGTAAGTCCACGTCCTCTATCTCTTACAACCATCTTTCACGATCTGTATTTTACAATTTAAGATCGATGCTGTTCTGCTGGGCACCAAACGAATCGGTCACGGATTTGCCGTCCTCAAGCATCCCAACGTACTGAAGGAGATCAAGCGCCGACAGATTTGCATTGAAATCAATCCAATCTCCAACCAGGTGCTCAAGCTGGTCCAAGATCAACGGAACCATCCGGCGGCCCTGCTCTTCTCAGACAACTATCCGGTGGTGGTTTCCTCGGACGATCCATCCTTTTGGCGGGCTACTCCACTGAGCCACGATTTCTACGTGGCTTTCACCGGGATCGCTTCGGCCCATCAAGATTTGAGACTGTTGAAGCAGCTGGCACTGAATTCGATCGAGTACAGTGCCATGAATCAGGATGAAAAGGTTGATGCCAAGTATAAGTGGAAACGGGCGTGGCATGAAGCAATCAGTGCACTGGCTCTGGATATTGTGGCTGATAAGCTTCATTAAGTGATGTTAGAAGATTGCCAATGATCAGAAATGTTGGAAGTATGGTGCTATAAATGAAGGAAGAACTCATGGGGACTCCTCCGTTAGGATTTGTTTTGTTAATAAAGATCTACTTAACTGCAGGGCTTTCGATTCTCTTTTTCAGCAACATGTTGCAGGTGCGATTATTAAACAAAGTTGCTGTAACAATCTTACATATGAGCATTATTCCTTCGTCTTCGATGTATTCGTTCAGACTGCAACTTAATCTAAATTTCTTATTCTATACCAAACTCATTTTTCTAATGTTAAAATTAAACTGATCATAAACAGCGTTAAAAGTACGTATACATGTACTCAGAGAGTTGCTGGGTCCATAGCTTTTTCTATGATGAGGTACGTAAAGCGCATCTTGAGTTGGAAGAGACCGAGATGTATCGTTGAAGTTGATAAGCTGACGCAAGCAGGGCAATCGATACGATCCGTCAGAATGTCGAAAATGAAGATACGCTGCAGTTTTAAGCGTATGACAGACAGCATGTCCAAGTGAAGTAATAAGCAATGTGAGGTAAAAAGCAGCAGGTGTGTTTCATCGTTCCATGATACATGACGGAGAATCGATTGAAATATTTCTTAACTTGCTTCAATTTTCTGATTTGTTTAGATTGATACGATATCCATGCAGGCGCGGTGTATTCAAGTATGCTTCGTACCAATGAGCAAAATAAAGACTTCAAAGCATAAACGTCGGTGATGAATGCTGAATGGCGTCGAATATATACTAGGACAGTGAATTTCAATTTGCTGTCCAAAATAACACCTAAGTCACAAATCTACGAACCTACGCATTCGAGTGATAGGGCCGTCTTATAGTTTTTTTAAACTCTTTATGTGTTCCAAATTCAAATGAAATTACATTTCATTTTAACCTTAGTTCTCCAGCTGCTTACCATCCTTAATTGTTATGATATATATGTAAATGTGTTTAAAATGTGCCTGATTTAACAATTGCCTAAGTTATCTGCAAACAAAGATTTGTGGCAACGCTGAAGCAAATCAGGAATGTCCAAAATTAAAATGATAAACAATATCGGTCCGAGAATGCTACCCTAAGGAGCCCTTGCTCTAACAGATTTCGAATTTTCGAGTCCTGTAAGTTAAACAGTTTTGAACTAATTTCATAATGTAGAGTGGATAATTAAACTTTTTCAACATGGCAATCAAACCTTCATTCGAAGCACTGTTGAATACTTATTCTATGTTAAGATGAGCAACTCCAGTTGAGCAGCCTTGAGATTTGTTTGAAAAAAAAATAATTGATACCTCTTAAGTGTTGATGAGTAGTTGAATGCCCACGGTGAAGTCCAAACTGCTCATCTGCAAAACTTGAGATCGTATTGATGTGAAGCATCATTCTATTCAAAATTATCTTTACAAAAAGTTTACTTATTGGAGAAAGCAAACTTATTGGCCGGTAGCTAGAAGCTTCATCTGGATTTTTATCCGCCTTCAAAATTGTAACAACTAAAGCATTTTTCCATTTATCAGGAAAGTATGCCAAATGGAAACATCTGTTAAATATTTCTACCAAGGAAGACAAGGTACTCTCTGGGAGATTTTTTTTAAGGATATAGAAAATTCCATCATCACCTGGAGCTTTCATATTTTGAAACTTATTCAACCTTATTTTCACGAAAGAAAATCTTCAGTCCGCATCGTGCTCTCTTGCCGTGCGGATCTATTTGCTTTTTGCTTAAGGAAGTGTTACTACTACCTAAAGCTACAACAAATTTAAACAGCACTTTTCAGTGCTCAACCTGTAAAAATTTTCTACTTTGTTCAACTCCTCTTATTCCTCTTCGATCCTTGTTTGGACCCTATCCGTGGTAATCCTTCTTGGATATCGATTTGGAAAATTCCTCTTCGATCCTTCAGATTCTTATAGTAATCTGCTTGGAAGTCGATTTGAATAAAAATTTACTGCCGCCATGGCGCCTAAACGCAAAAGAAAGGGGCAAACTCTTGACCCCCCTTCTGATGAAATTAATTTGAGTAATCAATTTGATTTGCTCACAGATGATGAGAATGATCCATCATCCAAGAAAAATTCTAGTAAACTTTCCCGGCTTAATGCCAAGAAGGAAAAGATTCCTCCTATTGTGATAACCACTTCCGATTTCCATGCTCTTCGCATGGAACTTTTGAATTTCGTGAAAGTTAAGTTTTCACTACAAATTGGACGTCGGGGTGAATGCCGTGTATTGGCTGAAACCTTGGACGGATTTAAATGTCTTCTCAAGTATCTTACTGAGAAGAAGCACAATTTTTTTACTTACGACACCAAAACTGAACGTGTGTTCAAGGTTGTCATGAAAGGACTGCCCAGTGGTGAATCCCTGGATCAGATCAAAGATGAACTGGCAAAATTACTTGGAGTTGTGCCACTCCAAGTAATCAAAATGAAAATGAAATCCCGTCCTGGCGATTCGCGCAACGGGATTTCTAATGATTTTTATTTAGTTCACTTCAAGTCTAGTGAACTAAACAACCTTAAGGCCTTAGAAAAAGCTAGCCTTATGCTCCATGTCCGAGTGAAGTGGGAACACTTCAGGAAGACTGGAGGAAATTTCCAAAACCTCACTCAGTGCCGTAAGTGCCAGGGATGGGGTCACGGAACTAAAAATTGCTACATGCCAGCTAAATGCATGAATTGTGGTGATTCCTCTCACGCAAAGGACGACTGTCCTGTGAAGGAAGATCCTAAAAAATTTAAATGTTCAAATTGTGGTGAAAACCACAAATCCAATTTTTGGGAATGTAAGACTCGCAAAGCGATCCTACAATCTCGTTCTAACCGTCAGGTAGGAAACGCTCCACGTTTCCGACCAGGTACAAATTCCTCTGCTGTTAACAACGGTCAGCGAGGAACAAATTCTACATTCGTACCCGTAGGTACAAATATCTCCCCTGCTTCAAATGTTTCATCTGTACCTAGTCCCCTCGCTGCTAACAATGTTCAGCGAGTTAATGGAGCTACCTATGCTGCTATTGCAGCGGGTAGAAATCAAAATACTAACCAACGTTCTAACGGAAATTTTGACAATTTTGACTTAGGAAGCATTACTGCTCCTAAAATGGAATTTTTACAGAATTCATTAATTGACATGATTTCTGATATGCTTAAATCTAACTCCATGTTTGATGCTATTCAAACTGGAGTAAAATTTGCTAATAATATTGTCATGACTTTAAAATTCAGTAATGGATTTTAAAGCATTAAACATTTTAAATTGGAATGCTCGATCTCTTAAAGATAATGAAGACGAGCTATTTAATTTTTTGAGAGTTCATAACGTGCATATTGCTGTTATAACTGAAACGTTCCTTAAACCTGACCATAAGGTTAAGAAGGACGCAAATTACTTGATTTATAGAAATGATCGTCTTGATGGACCCTGTGGTGGCGTTGCCATCATTATTCATAGACGAATCAAACATAAAATTCTTTCTTCATTTGAAACCAAAGTTTTTGAAACTTTGGGAGTTTCTGTTGAAACAAAATTTGGACAACTTACGTTTATAGCTGCCTATTTGCCATTCCAATGCGTAGGCCAGCAAAAGAATTTTCTCAAGGGTGACCTCCAGAAACTTACCCGTCATAGGTCTAAATTCTTCATTATTGGTGATTTTAATGCAAAACACCGCTCATGGAATAATGCTCAAAGCAATTCCAATGGTAATATTCTGTTTGATGATTGTTCTGCAGGTTATTACACTATTCAATATCCAAACAGCCCAACATGCTTTTCTTCTGCAAGAAATCCCTCAACTATTGATTTGGTCTTAACTGATTCATGTCATCTTTGTAGCCAATTGGTTACCCATGCTGACTTCGGTTCTGATCACCTTCCAGTAACTTTTGAAATATCCCAAGAAATAATTTCTAATCCCAACAGCTTTACTTTCAATTACCATAGGGCTGATTGGGAGCAATATCGAACATTTATGGAATATAACTTCGATCCAAACATTCCTTTGCAAACCAAAGATGAAATTAATTATGCTCTTGAATCTCTGACTACTTCTATAGTTGAAGCAAGAGCTGCCTCAGTACCAAAATGCGAGGTTAAATTCGATTCAATTATAATAGACGATGATCTTCAGCTCTTGATCCGTCTTAAAAATGTCCGTAGGAGACAATTTCAAAGCACACGCGATCCTGCCATGAAAGTTATCTGGCGGGATTTGCAAAAACAAATTAAAAAACGATTCTCTGCCCTGAGGAACAAAACTTTTGAAAATAATGTTTCTAAATTAGACCCGAGTTCCAAACCCTTTTGGAAACTCACAAAAATTTTGAAAAAACCTCAAAAGCCAATTCCAGCGCTTAAAGAAGGTGGTAAAATTTTGATCACAAATTTGGAAAAAGCTCAGAAACTTGCTAAGCAATTCGAGAGTTCCCATAATTTCAGTTTGGGTCTTACTAGTCCTATTGAGAATCAGGTTGCTCGGGATTTTCGGAATATTTTCTCTCGGGAAAATATTTTTGATGATTCCTGGGGGACTGATTTGGACGAAGTAAGGTCTATAACTAAAAAAATTCAAAATATGAAAGCTCCAGGTGATGATGGAATTTTCTATATCCTCATCAAAAAACTCCCAGAGAGTACCTTGTCTTTCCTGGTAAAATTATTTAACAGATGTTTCCATTTGGCATACTTTCCTGATAAATGGAAAAATGCTAAAGTTGTTCCAATTTTGAAGCCGGATAAAAATCCAGCTGAAGCTTCTAGCTACCGTCCAATAAGTTTGCTTTCTTCAATAAGTAAACTTTTTGAAAAAATAATTTTGAATAGAATGATGCTTCACATCAATACGAACTCAATTTTTGCAGATGAGCAGTTTGGATTTCGCCATGGGCATTCAACTACTCATCAACTCTTGAGAGTTACCAATTTAATTCGTTCAAACAAATCTGAAGGCCACTCAACTGGAGTTGCTCTTCTAGACATAGAAAAAGCATACGACAGTGTTGGGCATGAAGGTTTGATTGCTAAATTGAAAAAGTTTAATTTTCCACTTTACATTATGAAATTAGTTCAAAATTATTTAACTGACAGAACTCTGCAGGTAAATTATCAAAATTCCAAATCTAAT